TCCTTCCTTCCTTCCTTCCTTCCTTCCTTCCTTCCTTCCTTCCTTCCTTCCTTCCTTCCTTGTATTATTCAGACTTTGGAAGTTGACAATACCCAAACGGGATGTTTGTGTTAAGATTCCCTTTGTGCTACTCTCTGCTTCTCCCAGCTGACCACCAGTTACCCTCGCGAAAAATCTTTCCACCTGAAGAATTACTGTGCCAGTGCAAATTTCATCTTGACCCTTTTATTGGATGGTTACGGCTTCCGAAACGACACCTGGCAAAACATTGCCTTCCAAATGCAGGTGAGCCTTGACCCCATGAATTTATTTTCCTTCATGGTGTAACCTGCCAGAGTCTCTATGCTGGTCTTGACCACAAGGTCCATTTCTCCAATCAGTAGGTCCACCTGTTCATTTATCACAATCTACACTGCCCATCTCAGCTGGAAGAAACTCCAGGTGGCTTAAGATAAAGGGAATTGTTCCCCTCACATATCTGTGCTAGCCATTCCTGACTCTAGGGGGCGGTGCTCATCTCCGTTTCAAAGCCGAAGAGCCAGCACGGTCCGAAGACGTCTCCGTGGTCATATGGCCGGCATGACTCAACACCGAAGATGCACGCAACACTGTTCCCTCCCCACCAAAAGTGGTCCCTATTTTTCTACTTGCATTTTTGACGTGCTTTCGAACTGCTAGGTTGGCAGAAGCTGGGACAAGTCACGGGAGCTCACTCCGTTACGCGGTGCTAGGATTCGAACTGCCAAACGGTCTTACCCACTGAGCCACCGCATCCCTTAAATGATTCTAAATCATTTAAAACAAACTAAAACGATTGTAAGGTGGCTTACAATCATTTAAATCTTACAAGACGCATTAAAAGGTGAAATAGCAACTATTAATTTAGTTTAAAATTTGATCAAGATGGCAAGGGAGAGAACAAGGTGCCCAAGGGGAGGAGGGGAGGAGCCAAGGTGGCGCAGTGGTTAAATGCAGCACTGCAGGCTACTTCAGCTGACTGCAGTTCTGCAGTTCGGCTGTTCAAATCTCACCGGCTNAGAGAGACAGAGAGACAGAGAGAGAAACAGAGAGAGAGAGACAGAGAGAGAGACAGAGACAGAGAGAGACAGACAGAGAGAGAGACAGAGAGACAGAGAGAGAGACACACACAGAGAGAGAGACAGAGAGAGAGAGACAGAGAGAGAGAGACAGACAGACAGACAGAGACAGACAGAGACAGAGACAGACAGAGACAGAGAGCAATAGCAACTAACAATAATATTTACACCTTCATAGTTATTCACAGCCCCCTGGAAGCAGTTTACAGAGTCAGCCTCTTGCCCCCAACAATCTGGGTCCTCATTTTACCGATCTTGGAAGGATGGAAGGCTGACTCCACCTTGAGCCGATCAGGATCGAACTGCTGGCAGTGAGCAGTAAGTTAGCCTGCAGTACCACATTCTTAATGTCAAATTCTAGAGACCCTATTTTGGTCGTATCTGTAATGTGGATCAGTTGATTGAAAAACAGCCATGGGTGGGTGGGTGGATGGGAAACAGCCTCCTACCTCATTTTCATGGTGGCCACCTGCTGAAGATATTCTTCTTGTAAAATGACCTTGAGTTCTGCCAGGGATGGGACCTTATCAATTTTTCGATTGATAACGAAAGAGCCATGAACTTGTAAGTAGAAACCGTCGTTTGTGGGACCCACTGGTCGTGACTGCAGAGAGATGGGGAAAAAATCCTGCTGGTAAAAATAACAGTTTCTGCCAACTTCCCCCAGTCCCTAAATACAGGTAGTGTCAGGCCTGCAGCCATATTTGGATCTTTGGCCTGCCACACTTTCCATTATTCTACTATGCCTTTTCTATTGTGTGAAAATGGGAGGGGAGATTGCACGGAGTTAGATGATATGTAGCCATAACAACATTCTTTCTAGAAAGCCAAGGTCATTCTTTGTCTTTGCACCTCTGCACCCGACCGGAATTGGATGGGTGGAAGCTGCCAGCATGGCAGTTGAAGATTGGACCATGTGATGGACTTGTGGGTATGGGGGGCAGGATCTTGAACTTTCAACTGGGTGTGGAAAATGGGGAAGCTTTCAGATTTGGGTTTCCCCAGATGTGCCAACATGGCTCTCTTCATAAATTGGAACTTTGAGCAATATTTTGCCTTGGACTTTGATTTAATTTTGGATGCTATTTGGAACCCTGACAGGTAGGTCCTCGAGTTGCAACAGTTCATTATGACGGCCAAAACATCTTCGGGAGATATTTACCCTCAGTCCCCTCAGGGAAAAGGGCGGCCTACAAATGTCAATAAATCACTAAATTTACGTGAGCGAGATTCGAACAGCTTGACACAATGGCCAGATATGAGAGATTTCATTCTATACCCTACAATGAGCATCTCTGCGATAGAAAGCCTGGCTCACATCCTATGTGATTGTTGCTTGCAGAAGGGGGTGAGAGACAAGTACCTTGGTCTATTTTAATCTATGTCTTGTTCTGTTTATGCGTTTAAAATTAAATATATATATATATAGCTGATAAAGGAGGAGAGCCTGTGGCTTAGTGGCTAATATAACTGCCTAATATGTAA